AACAGCACATCTGTATACCTGGGATAAATGCGTAGTGGTACAATTGCTGGGTCATAGGGTAGTTCTATTTTTAGTTTTTTTGAGAAACCTCCATACTGTTTTTCAGAGTGGCTGCACCAGCTTACATTCCCACCAACAATTCAAAAGAGATCCTCTTTCTCCGCATCCTCGCCAACATCTGTTGTTGCCTGAGTTGTTAATGTTAGCCATTCTGAAGGTGTAAAGTTGTATCTCATTGTGGTTTTGATTTGTATTTCCCTGATGATGAGTGATGTTGAGCATTTTTTCATGTGTCAGTTGGCCATCTGGATGTCTTCTTTGGAGAAGTATCTGTTCACGTCTTTTGTCCATTTCTTCACTGGATTCATTGTTTTTTGGGTGTTGAGTTTGATAAGTTCTTTGTAGATTTTGGATATGTCTGATATTATCTGATATGTCATTTGCAAATATCTTCTCCTATTCTGTCTGCTGCCTTTTAGTTTTGCTGATTGTTTCCTTCTCTGTGCAGAAGCTTTTTTTTTTTTTTGATGAGGTCCCAGTAGTTCATGTTTGCTTTTGTTTCCCTTGCCTCCACAGACGTGTTGAGTAAGAAGTTGCTGCGGCCAAGATCAGAGAGGTTTTTGCCTGCTTTCTCCTTGAGGATTTTGGATGGCTTCCTGTCTTGCATTGACGTCTTTCATCCATTTTGAGTATATTTTTGTCTATGGTGTAAGAAAGTGGTCCAGGTTCATTCTTCTGCATGTCACTGTCCAGTTTTCCCAGCACCATTTGCTGAAGAGACTGTCTTTATTCCATTGAATATTCTTTCCTGCTTTGTCAAAGATTAGTTGGCCATACGTTTGTGGGTCCATTTCTGGGTTCTCTATTGTGTTCCATTGATCTGAGTGTCTGTTCTTGTGCCAGTGCCATACTGTCTTGATTATTACTTTGTAATATACCTTGAAGTCCAGGATTGTGATGCCTCCAGCTTTGGTTTTCTTTTTCAGGATTGCTTTGGCTACTCAGGGTCTTTTCTGGTTCCATACAAAATTTAGGATTGTTTGTTCTAGCTCTGTGAAGAATGCCATTGTTATTTTGATAGGGATTGCATTGAATATGTAGATTGCTTTGGGTAGTTATAGACATTTTAATATTTTCTCTTCTAATCCATGAACATGGAATGTTTTTCCATTTCTTTGTGTCTTCTTCAATTTCTTTCATAAGCTTTCTATAGTTTTCAGCGTATAGATTTTTCATCCCTTTGGTTAGGTTTTTTTTCCTAGGTATTTTATTGGTTTGGGTGCAATTGTAAATGGTATGGACTCCTTGATTTCTCTTTCTGGTGCTTCATTATTGGTGTACAGGATCGCAACTGATTTCTGTGCGCTGATTTTATATCCTGTGATTTTGCTGAATTCATGGATCAGTTCTAGAAGTTTTTTGGTGGAATCTTCTGGGTTTTCCATATAGAGTGTCATGTCATCTGCGAAGAGTGAAAGTTTGACTTCCTCCTGTCTGATTTGGATGCCTTTTATTCCTTTTTGTTGTCTGATTGCTGAGGGTAGGGCTTCCAATACTATGTTGAATAACAGTGGCAAGAGTGAACATCCCTGTCTTATTCCTGACCTTGGGGGGAAAGCTCTCAGTCTTTCCCCATTGAGGATAATATTAGCAGTGGGCCTTTCATCTATGGCTTTTATGATCTTGAGATATGATCCTTCTGTCCCTACATTCTTGAAGGTTTTTATCAAGAAACGATACTGTATTTTGTCAAATGCCTTCTCTGCATCTATTTAGAGAATCATGTGGTTCTTGTCCTTACTTTTATTGATGTGATGTATCACATTGTTTATCAGATATTGAACCAGCCCTGCATCCCAGGTATAAATCCCACTTGGTCATGGTGAATATTTCTTTTAATGTATTGTTGGATCCAGTTGGCTAGTATCTTGAGGATTTTTGCATCTATGTTCATCAGGGAAATTGGTCTGTAGTTCTCCTTTTTAGTGGGATCTCTGTCTGGTTTTGGAATCAAGGTAATGCTGGCTTCATAGAATGAGTTTGGAAGTTTTCCTTACATTTCTATTTTTTGGAACAGCTTCAAAAGAATAGGTATTAACTCTTCTTTAAATGTTTCACAGAATTCCCCTGGAAAGCCATCCGGCCCTGGACTCTTGTTTTTTGGGAGAGATTTTTGATTGCTTAATCTATTTCTTTGCTACTTATGGGTCTGTTCAAATTTTCTATTTCTTCCTGTTTCAGTTTTGGTAGTTTATATGTTTCTAGGAATTTGTCCATTTCTTCCAGACTGCCTAATTTATTGGCATATAATTGCTTATAATATTCTCTTATTATTGTTTTTATTTCTGCTGTGTTGGTTATGATGTCTCCTCTTTTATTCTTGATTTTATTTATTTGTGTCCTTTCCTTTTTCTTTTTGATAAAGCTGGCTAGTGCTTTATCAATTTTGCTAATTCCTTCAAAGAAAAAATCTTCTTGTTTCATTGATCTGTTCTACTGTTTTGTTTTTTGGTTTTGATAGCATTGATTTCTGCTCCAATTTTTGTTATTTCCCATCTTCTGCTGGTTTTGGGTTTTATTTGCTGTTCTTTTTCCAGCTCTTTAAGGAGTAAGGTTAGGTTGTGTATTTTGAGAACTTTGTTCCTTCTTTAGGAAGTCCTGGATTGCTATATACTTCCCTCTTATGACCACTTTTGCTGCATTGCAGAGGTTTGGGGCTGTAGTGTTATCATTTTCATTAGTCTGTATGTACTTTTTAATTTCCTCTTTAACCTCTTGGTTAGCCTATTCATTCTTTAGTAGAATGTTCTTTAGTCTCCAAGTATTTGTTATCTTTCCATATTTTTTCTGTGGTTGATTTCGAGTTTCATAGGTTGTGCTCTGAAAATATGCACAGTATGATCTCAATCTTTTTGTACTTGTTGAGGGCTAATTTGTGTCCTTGTATGTGATCTATTCTGGAGAACGTTCTATGTGCACTCAAGAAGAATGTGTATTCTGGTACTTTAGGATGAAATGTTCTGAATATATCTGTTAAGTCCATCCAGTCCAGTGTGTCATTCAAAGCCATTGTTTCTTTGTTGATTTTCTGTTTAGATGATCTGTCCGTTGCCGTAGGTGGGATGTTGAAGTCCCCTACTATTATGGTATTATTATCAATGAGGTTCTTTATGTTTGGGATTAATTGATTTATATATTTGGGTCCTTCCATGTTTGGAGCATAAATGTTTATAATTGTTAGATCTTTTTGGTGGATAGACCACTTAATTATGATATAATGCCTTTCTTCATCTCATGTTACAGTCTTTATTTTAAAATCTAGATTTTCTGATATAAGTATGGCTACTCTAGCATTCCTTTGGCTACTATCAGCATGATAGATCATTCTCCATCCACTTACTTCCAATTGGAAGATGTCTTTAGTTCTAAAATGGTTCTCTTGTAAACAGCATATAGATGGATCTGTTTTTTTTTTATTCCTTCTGTTACCCTGCTTCTTTTGATTGGAGCGTTTAGTCCATTGACATTTAGAGTGAGTACTGAAAGATATGAATTTATTGCCATTATGTTGCCTGTAGAGTTGAAGTTCCTGGTGGTGTTCTCTGCTCCTTTCTAGTCTTTGTTGCTTTTGGTCTTTTTTGGTTTTTGTGGGTTTTGTTTTTTTTTTTTTTTTGTCTTTTCTCCTCCTCAGAGAGTCCCCCTTAAAATTCTTTGCATGGCTGGTTTAGTGGTCATGAACTCCTTAGTTTTTGTTTGTCTGGGAAACTTTATCTCTCCTATTTTGAATGACAGCCTTGCTGGATAAAGAATTCTTGGTTGCATATTTTTCCATTTCTGCACATTGAATATATTCTACCACTCCTTTCTGGCCTGCCAACTTTCTGTGGATAGGTCTGCTGCCAACCAGATGTGTCTTCCCTTGTTGATTAAGGACTTTTTTCCCCCTTGCTGCTTTCATGATTCTTTTCTTGCCTGAGTGTTTTGTGAATTTGATTATGATATGCCTTGTTGATGGTCGGTTTTTGTTTAAGCTAATGGGAGTCCTCTGTGCTTCCTGGATTTTGATGTCTGTGTCTTTCCCCAGGTTAGATAAGTTTTCTGCTTTGATTTACTCATGTAAGCCTTCTACCCCTTTTTCTCTCTTTTCATCTTCTGGGACCCCTAACACCCCTTCTGGATGTTATTCCTTTTTAATGAGTCACTGATTTCTCTAATCCTTATATCATGTTCTTTTGCCTTAGTCTCCCTCTTTTTTTCCGCTTCATTATTCTCCATAAGTTTGTCCTCTATATTGCTGAATCACTGCTTTGCTTCTTTGATCCTTGCCACTGTGGCATCCATTTGAGATTTCATCTCAGTTATAGCATTTTTTATCTCATTTTGACTAAATTTTACTTCTTTTATTTCTGTAGAAAGGATTCTATGCTGTTTTCAACCCCAGTTAGTATTCTTATCATGATTCTAAATTCTGGTTCAAACATCTTGCTTGTATCTGTGTTGATTAAGTCCCTGGCTGTCATTTCTTCCTGTTCATTCTTTTGGGGTGAATTCCTTCATTTCATTATTTTGAAGAAAGAAAAATAATTAATAAAATAAAATAATTAAAATTTAAAAATTTAAAACCACACAAAAAAATCAAATAAAGGACTCTAGATCCTACGTGTGTTTTTGTACTGTTTGTTTAAAAAGCTTGATAGAATAGATAAAAACGAGAAAGAAAAGAAAAAGAAAAGAAAAAAAGGCAAACTTTTGAAAATTTAAAAATATGAACTCAATAATATAGAATTAAATGAAATGATGAAAGTAAAATAGAATTTTAAAAATTTACAAAAAAGTAAAAAATATACTGGAAAAAAATAAAGAAAAATGTTTTTTATAAAAATGGAAAATAAAAACAAATTTTTTCTCTTTCTGTATTCAAAAATAAGAAAAGAAAAAAACTTGAATAGATGGACCAGTGAACAGAGTGAAATACGATTAAAATTATATCCACTTTCCCCTAGAAGTCAAACTATGAAGCACTTTATAATCCACAAACTAAGTAGGCAGAGAGACCTGTGGTGTTCCTCTAGAGCTGGCTGGCCCAGTTGGGTGGGGCTTGGAGTAACGGCTCCATTCGCCACTAGATGGGGCTGCTTTGTTTACTGGGGTGGAATGTTTTGGCACATGTAGGCATGTATGCACATGCATGTGAGAGATGAAAATGGCGTCACCCAGTTTCCCAGTCGCTAGCATTACAACTCTTTGCCCTCACTGACCAGCAATCAAGCACCCCTCCTTTGTCTCTGGCTTTTCTCCACTCCCCACTTCTACACTGTCCATGACCAAGTTGTCAGCCTGCCAGGCAGAAGTCCCTCTCAAGTTTTATGTCAGATGGGCCTGTGTTTCCAAACCTCTCACTTCTGAGGACCCTGCAGTTTGGACATGCTCAGACCCTCCCCCGGAGCTGACCAATGTCCAGGTGCCGGCCTGCCCCCAGGAACGTTCATGCCACTATGCTGCTGCACATGATCAGAGACTATGGCTGGATGCCAGTCCACCCCAGAAAAAAGTTCACACATTCATGTGGCAGCAGCATCTCAGGGATTATGGTAAATCACACCATACACCTGGCACCAGGCTTCACCCTTAATGTCCTTGTTCCAACACCAGCGAATGCAGCTGTTCTCTGGGGTCCACTAGGACTTGGGGTGGCCACACAGCCTCTACTAAATGTCCATCCAGCAGAGGAACTGCCTTTCCTCATGTGGCCTGAGGACCCTTAGGACATCGCTGTCTGCTCCTGGGGATTTGCCCCTCCCACCAGAGCACTGCCAGGTATTGAGCTGCAGAGTTGCAGACTCTGCCTTCTCCCTGTTTATAAAGTCTTAAAGGAATTTAAACCCTCTCTTTTCTCCTTTATCTTTTCTCCCTTTTTTGTTCAGTCCATTCTTTCTTTTTCTCTCCAGCTGCTTTCAGGGGGAATGCTTTTCCTGTACTCTCCCCCATATCCATCCTCTCTCCACAAACAAAAACAGCTGCCTACCCTCCACGGCTTCTCTCTCCCCCAGTTCACCTCTGCGCCACATACCTGCTGAGTTCTGTGGTTCAGGTTGTGCAGATTGTTTTGTTAATCCTCAAATCAGTTTTCTAAGTGTGCAAGATGGTTTGGTGGTGTTCTGACTCCATTTCAGGGATGGGAGAGGAAAAAAAATTCCATGCTGCTCTTCCACCTCAGTCCCCCCTTCTATGTGGTATCTTAAACAAAAGTCAGACTCATAGAAACAGAGAGTAAAAAAGTGGTTGCCGGGGCTCAGATATTCGGAAAATAGGGAGATTTTGGTAAAGGGTACAAACTTTCCATTGTAAGATAAGCAAGGTCTGAGGATCTGATGTATAACATGATATATTTGATAGTACTGTATTATATAATTGAAATTAATTACTAGGTGAATAGAACTTAAGTGTTCTCAACAAAATAATACTACTACTAATAAAAAGATAAATATGTGAGGTAATGGATGTGATAATTAACTCAGTGGTTGGGATCCTTTCACAGAATATACATAAATCAAACAACCATGCTCTACATCTTAAATATATTACACTTTCGGCGCGCCTGGGTGGCTCAGTCGATTGAGCATCCAGCTTTGGCTCAGGTCATGATTTCACATCTTGTGGGTTCGAGCCCCGCATTGGGCTCTGTGCTGACAGCTCGGAACTTGGAGCCTGCTTCAGATTCTGTGTCCCCCTCTCTCCACTCCACCCCCAGTTGTGCTCTGTCTCTCTCTGTCTTTCAAAAATGAATAAACATAAAAAAAATTTTTTAACATATTACACTTTCATTTGTGAAAACAAGAATAATGCTTGAATCACATTCATGACATAAAAAATAGGGATAAATATGTAGTTGCTGTTTTACCTCTTCTTGATTAAATGAATGGATGAATAACTAAGTTTTGATGCTGTGTGGAGTAAACCATGTTGTTTCCAAGAGGCTGCATTTGGCTAATTGTATCCCTGTGGTGCCTGCCTGCTTCATTTCCTAAAGTTTGGTAGTAGGTCTAAAGGCCTGGGGGGTTTTGTTTTTCTGTTGAGGAGTTATGAATTCAAAGTTCACAATTCCTCTTGATAGAAAGCCTAGTAGACTTTGATAACGTCCTTGTTCTTTGATATGATGACATGTTCTAGGCTCGGCATTCACAGTTCCTCTCTAGACCTGGAACCTGCTATCTTCCCGGGAAGATTTTATTCCCTTTGGTGGCTGCTACGGGTGCTCAGCACCACTGCACTTGCCATTGTTTTTAGTATGCTACAGTGGAAAGAGATAAAAGTATGCCTTGAATTTTTGTTATAACTTTATTGATGTGTAAAGGACAATACATTCCAAGTATTTAAAAAGTACACCATGATCAGTTTTGACATATGGAAGCACCTGCAAAACTGTAATTGAGTTTTAATTACCCCTCCAAACATTTCCTCATGCCTATTTGTAATCCATCCGTCCTTCTACTTTGCTCCCTAAGCAACCACTGACCTGCTTACCGACCAGAAATTAGTTTGCATTTTCTAGAATTTTATATGAATGAAATCATATCTTACATACTCTTTTGTCAAATTTCTTTTACTTGGTGTAATTATTTTGAGATTTATCCATGTTCTTGTGTAATATAATAGTTTCTTTCCATTGGTGGGTAGTATTCCATTGCATGGTTATACCACATCTGTTATTCATTCACCCATTGATGGACATTTTGGGTAGTTCCAATTTGGGACTATTAAAAATAAGGCTTCTATAAGCATTTGCCTAATAGTTTTTGGGTGAATATATTTTTTATTTCTGTTGGGTAAATTATTAGCAGCAGAATGCTTTGGTCATATGATAATTATGTTTAAATTCTTAAGAAGCTGTCAAACCATTTTCTAAAGTCATACCATTTTACATTTCCTCCAACAGTGTTAGTTCTAGATTATATTGTGGTTTTAATTTGTGTTTCTCTAATTACTAATGATTTTGAGCCTCTTCCTTGTACGTTTTTTATCACTTGGCTATCTTCTCTGTGAAGTGCCTTTTTAAATATTTTTGTTTATATTTCTATTATATTTTTTAACTAATTATTGAGTTATGAGAATTCTTCATATATTCTTATTACAAATATTTTCTTTGCATACCACAAGATTGTAAAACTCTTTTTTGTTTTCTTCTAGAAGTTTCATAATTTGATATTTTTGGTTTTAGATCTATAATCAATTTCAAATTAATTTTTGTGCATCATGTAAGATAAGAGTTAATATTCATTTTTTATTATTTAAATATTTAGTTTATCCAACATCATTTGTTGAAAGTTCCTTTCCCTGTAAATTGTTGCTTCTGTTGAAACTCAATTGTTTATATTTGTGGGCATTCTATTTTTGACTCTATTCTGTTTCAGAGATCTATGGGTTTCTCTTTTTAACCAATGCTTAACTGTGTTGATTAGCAACTATGTATTTAAGTCTTATAATCAGATACTTTGAGTCCTCCAATTTTGTTCTTCTTAAAAACTGTTTTAGGTGGTGCCTGGGTGGCTCAGTTGGTTAAGGAACCACCTTCAACTCAGGCCATGATCTCCCTCACTCCACAGGTTTGAGCACGTGGGCTCTGTGCTGACAGCTCAGAGACTGGAACCTGCTTCTGATTCTGGGTCTCCCTCTCTCTCTGCCCCTTCCATTTCTGTTCTCTCTCTCAAAAATAAATAAACATTTAAAAAAAACTGCTTTGGTTATTCTATGTCCTTTAAATTTCTATCTAAGGTTTAGAATCAGTTTGGCAGTTGCTAAAATGCCTGTTGGAATTTGTATTAAGAATGAATTAAATTAATAGGTCATTTGGGGGCAAATTGCCACCTTAATATTGAGTCTTATAATCAATCCATGAAGATGACATATCTCTGTATTTATTTAGGTCATCTTTAATTTTTCTCAGTAATGTTGTACAGCTTTCAGTGTAGAGGTCTTAAGTGTCTTTTCCAATTTATTTGTAAGTATCATGTTTTATGGCACTATAAAAAACAAGTTTTAATATTTTAAATTTAATTTTTATGATATTTAAAAGCATAATTGCTTTTTGTATATTAAACTTGTATCCTATAACATTGCTAGATTTATTCTAGCGTTGTTTTAGACATTTCCTGTGATTTTCTATGTGAACAAGCATTTCTTTTGTAAATAGGAACAAATTGGTTTCCTCTTATATTTATGCCTCTTTTCTTAACCTTATTGCAGTAGCTCAGCCCTCCAGCAGAATGTTGAGCAGAACTGGTGAAAGTGGGAACTCTTGCCTTGTTCCTGATCTCAAGGGGAAAAAATTCAGTGTTTTATCACTCAGTGTGATATTGACATTGGCTGTAGGTTTTTGTAGGTTTTTTTTAAGTTTATTTGTTTTTGTTTTTTTTATTTTTAAAAAAAATTTTTTTAACATTTTATTTATTTTGAGACAGGGAGAGACAGAGCATGAACAGGGGAGGGTCAGAGAGAGGGAGACACAGAATCTGAAACAGGCTCCAGGCTCTGAGCTGTCAGCACAGAGCCCGACGCGGGGCTCAAACTCACAGATGTGAGGTGAGATCTTGACCTGAGCCACCCAGGTGCCCCAAGTTTATTTGTTTTTGAAAGAGAGAGAGAGAGGGGGAGGGAGGGAGGAAGGGAGGGAGTGAGGAAAGGGCAGAGAGAGGGGGAATCCTGAGCAGGATCCATGCCATCAGTGTGGAGATGCAAGGCTCAAACTCATGAACTGTGAAATCGTGACTTGAGTTGAAATCAAGAGTTGGATGCTTAACCAACTGAACTGCCCAGGTGCCCCGGTTTTTGTAGTTTTTATAGCTTGAAAAATTTCCCAACTATTCGTAGAGTACAAAAGTTCATTTATATGGCTTCAGATTCCACACTGCAACTAACATTGTGTCCCATGAAAAAAGTGGCTTGTTCATCTGGTAACTCAAACAATTACAAAAATGCTTTCCTGGAGGCAATCACCACACTTCAGTATGCAGAAGAAGTGCTATATGAAGTGCTATAAGAAGTACATCTTATTTTGTCACCTAGCATAGGAAATATGTGTAAACAAGAATGGATATTAAGCAAATTTAATTACTTTTATAGCTTCATCAAGAACATCCATAATTGAAACTTGCTTTTTTTTAACTACACATGCACTGAGGTGAAGAATATAATTACTAATTAATATAGCCTTGATTAATGCTAAATCATCAGTAACTTTTCCCACAATTGCTTTTGCACTTTTAGTGTAAATGTCAACATAGTAAGAAAGGAAAATAATGTCTTTTGATTATTGTAAAAATAGTTTTTATATCATGGCCCCCTTAAAAGGGTCTCTGGTTCCCCCAGGGTTCCATAGACCACACTTTGAGAATTATGGCTCCTGTGTAGGTTAGCCTACAAATACAGTATGCCATTTTGAAATCTTCATTGAGGTTTCTCCATTTTAGTGGGCCAAAACTTGAACACTGCTACATATTATGTGAGCTCTGGGAATTGTTTTCTTTATGGTGGTTCTTTGACTGGACTCATGGAGTTTTACCCTCAACTCAAAATTCAACAAAGACAAAAGTAGACACCTTTGCATTTTCTGGTGCTATTCCTCATTTCTAGCCATCTATCACGCAAATTGTAACTGCCTCGGCTTCCAGCCCTGCTATTCAACTCAATTTTGCTTTGCTCTCCCTGCCACAGTCTGAAAAATGCCTTATGGTAGAAATCAAAGGAAATCATCAGGCTTATATCACTTGTTCCCCTTCTCTTAGATGGTCCCCCTTCTCTTATTTTTCGTAGTCTTTCATAGACCTGTTGTCAAATGTCTGAAAATAGTGTGTGCATGACATTCATTTGAGTTTTCTACTTGTTCACCATTAAAGGAAAAAATTAATGCTATTTATTACATCATGCCCAGATAGAGGCATCAAATTATTATAATTTTTAAGCCTAATATTTCTAGTGGGTTTTTCTGCAATGATTTTGTTTTCTTGTTTTATAATGATTATGTTTTCTCTTATCTCCTGAAGTGTCTTAAAATTTTGGTTCACCTTACCTCTAGTATTTTACTTGAGATGGAATATACATAATCCAAATCCTTGTGTGCCTTTTGAGGTAGTTGTACTACTCTGGTGTCGAGTTATTATACCCTGGGAAGTTATGTTCCCTGGGGGCATTGGCTACTCTGATTGCTAGTGTGATTTGGAGAAGAACTTAGGGGAAAAGCTTTCATCTGTGTTAGAACCCAGTAAGAATAAGGAATGAAAAGTCCCGATAGTAGAGATCCTTGTTTATTGCTCCCATTTGCTGTCACTCTGCCATGTAATTCTTCTGGTCATGGATTCATCTTCTTAACCTTGGGAAGCCAGTGAAAGGAGGTAGCTTCCTTGTAGTATAACACTAGCCTTGAAGGCTTTGATCTGAAAGGAGAAGTGAATTCTTAAGAACTGGTTAGCTGTACCTATTTTCATCAACTCCTCATTCCTGCATGGTTTTGGAACTACCCTACTGTTGGCCCTTAGACACCTGCCCCAAGGGTCTGGTTCACTGCTGTGTGTTTCTTCCACTACGTTGGCAGCCACTGATTATCTTATAAGGCACCACAAGCAAATGGCTTGAAATACCTACTTGTGTCCCAGTCTTTATTTTCTTACTTTTCTAAATTTGCTAGTCAAAAATAGCCTGTAAGTTTTCCACAAGTTTTTGATATGTCTATTATCATTGTCTGTTGGTGGAATCCGTGTCTTCCTTTTATTTCTAAGATTTCTCTAGCATTAAAAAAAAAAAAAAAAGCATTGGAGTGAACCATCACTGCTGTTTTGCTACTTAACTGTGACTGAAAATCTCTAATTCTCCATTGCCTCATTTAAAAGGGAAGTAATGTTAACATGTATCTTACAAAGTTTTGAGATCAAGCAAGAAAGTACACACAACCTTGTGTCATCTGGAACAGTATAAAAACTCAGTAAAAGTTAGGTGTTACTATTCTTATTAGTGTGATTATTAATTATGAAACATTGAACAAAACAAATATGAAGATAAAACAGATTATCACACCACCTGATTGAAGTATTATCCAGTCTTATCTCTCCATCTTGTCCACAAGCATTTTGTGGGAGGTGCCTTGTCGATGCTGTGCCAAAATTCAGAAACAGAACTTCTAAACAAGGCTCTGCTCTAGTTTACCAGGATATAAGTGATCTATAAATGAAATAAAGTAGATATGGCATAAGTTTTTCACTGTGAGTTTATGTTTAAAAATGGAGCAATGATTCACTATATGCTAACTAATTTGGATGTAAATTTTAAAAAATAAAAAATAAAGTTTAAAAAATGGAGCAATGATAACTGTGAGCAAAGTGCTCATAAACCACCTTTTAAGTAAATAAACCGTTCCAAATTGACAATAATCTCACCAGACAATTATTCACAGAACCACATCCTCTCTGTTCACACTATCCTTTTAATCAAGGTTCTTCAATAATTGGTATGAATGGTTTAGCACTCTTGTAAATTAGGACTCTCAGTTGTCAGAAAAACCACTTATTTTGGCCAGGAGATTCAAACTCATTGAGTGAAACTAGTTATTTCTTACATTTCCTGTCCTGACTTAGGCTAAATCACATCGAGTATAAGGGAAACTACCATTTCACACTCAGCCACAATTCTCCAAGTCGCTGTCATCCCAGGACAACTGTGAACGAAGGGGCTTTGATTGTACTGGAAGCAGCCTTCCTTATAACCTTGTTGGCCACTGTTTAGCTCAGCTGCTTGGTCCAGAATTTCTCTCCCTTGATGAATTCACCCTTGGTATCCTATCTTGCCTGCAGTCATTCTTTAGGATCATGCTAGTCTACAGTCCCCCTTCCCTACACACAAACACACACACAGACACAAACACAAACACACACGCACATACTGGTTTTGGCTCTACGTTTCCTCCCAGAAAGCCCTGATGTATTTATATATATTAATCCACCCTCTCCCTGAGTTCTGCCTACCAGAGGGAAACAAGTGGGTTCATCTTTATCGAGCTACAGAAGTCTTTGTTATACTTTCCTTCAGGAAAGTGGGTACCTCTTGGCCTTGCATTTACATATCCTAGTGTGACTGTCTTCAGCATTTCCTGTCATCATGATTATCAGCATCAATATGCTCTTAAGTGAGTTGCTGTGTCCACCTGTGGGCATAGAAGCAGCTGGGCACTTTTCAAAGCACCCTCTCTTGAGTCATTCCATTAGGGAACTTAAAGCTTGGTTATGTGACATTCCTTCAATCCTTTGATACTGAGTTGACGGCCAGCAGGCCTGCTTCTCAGCCACCTTGATATCTTAGGATTTCTCTCATTGTTCAGAATTAAATGCAGAAAAGTACTTCTGCTTTTGTGTTCTACCCCTCTCTGAGATGACACATTCTCATCTATAGATAACACTAGAGTCTTATCTTTCTAAACAGGCATCCATTTCCTTAATTACCTCCCAATTATCCATTATTTATGTCTCTTTATTAGAATATCACTCACCACCACTCTTTCTCCTTAAACCTATCCCAAGGAACAGTGTGATTATTTCTGCATTTTCCAAAGGATAAAATTATTTCCACGTTATTTTTATTTTATTCATTTATTCTGGGGAGTACAGGGATAATAGCCACATAGAAGGATAAGTTCAAGGTGTTCCAGGAATGGTGACTCTTTGGTGTTACCTTCAACCATTAATTTCTAATAAATAAATAAATAAATAAATAAATAAATAATTTATGTATAGGAAATGGAATTCTTTTTTTTAATGTTTTTATTTATTTTTGAGAGAAAGAGAGAGAGACAGACAGACAGAGTGCTAGTGAGGAATACGCATACAGAGGGAGACACAGAATCTGAAGCAGGTTCCAGGCTCTGAGCTGTCAACCCAGAGCCCGATGGGGGCTTGAACTTGCAAACTGTGAGATCATGACCTGAGCCGAAGTTGGATGCTCAACCGACTGAGCCACCCAGGTGCCCCAGGCAATGGAATTCTTTATTAAATTGTGGAGGAATTTAATCAAATATGTGTAGAGTCTCAATTTCGAGGCTTTGGGAGACAACAGTGGTAATTATTCGTTTTTTAATTTTTAGTTTTTAATTTGTTTTATTTGGGTAAAACTGACACACAGTATAACATTAGTTTCAGGTGTACAACTTAGTGATTTGACTAGTTTATACCTTATGCTGTGTTCTTCGCAAGTGTAGCTTCCATCTGTCTCATTACATTGCTGTTACAATATCATTGACTGTATTCCTTCTTGTGCCTTTTATTACCATGATTTATTCTTTCCATAACTCAAAGCCTATATCTCCCTCTCCTCTTCACCCACTTTTCCCTATCTCCAATACCACTCCCCTCTGCAAACCATCAATTTGTTCTATTTATAGTTCTGATTCTGCTTTTTGTTTCTTTATTTTTTTAGATTCTATTTATGAGTATAATCAAATGCTATTTGTCTTTCTCTGATTTATTTTACTTAGCATAATACCCTCTAGGTCCATCCATGTTGTCTCAAATGGCATGATCTCATACTTTTTACAGGTATGTAATATTCCAACAGGAGTTGATTCTGGATTCTTGGTGGTGGAGATTTTGAGCTATGTCTTAGAGACGATTGAGATTTAACAGATAAGTCAAGGCTATGGGGAAGTGGAAAGATATGGAAGTTCTTATATTTTGAGCTTCAGTATTATCTCTCCACTGCTTTAACTATCCATCATGCTCCTAATTCCTTTTAGACACACTATTATTTCAATTCACTGTTTATCATAATGCTAATATTTGCCATTTGAGCACCTGCTATGTGCTACAATTGCATGTATTTTTTTTTCTAATTCCCACAATGATTTTTTTTAATTTTATGGATGAGAAAATTGGGTCTCAGGTTAAGTACAGTTGTAAGCTTTACTTTATGTCTTTGTAGTCCTATTATCTCTATTTCCACTGCAGCTAAGCATCCTGATATCAGTAAGAGATGATGATGGTAAGCCTGAGAAGAAAGGCAGAAAATCTCAGAAATAGCTGCAGAACATTCTGTTGAAAATGAATGCTCATAATACTGCCTCTGTGTAATAAATGAATAGTGTTAAGACAAGCATTTTATATTTAAGAAAGAAACAAATATTTGAGCACATTTGGTATTTGTTAGGGTTGTCCAGAGACACAGAACAGTAAGATACATATACATATATGTATACATATATAGATGTATAGGTATAGAAATAGGTAGAAATAGAGATTGAATATGAGGAATTTGAGGAACTGGCTCACATGATTGTGGAAGCTACCAAGTACCATGACTGGTGCCTGAAAGTTGGAGACCCAGGAAACCTGGGGGTCTGGCTCAGTCTCCAAGCCTAAGAACCAGGAAAGCTGATGGTGTCTGAATTGAAAAGTAAGAGAAAACTGATGTGCAGTTTAAGCAGAGAGGAAATGTGTCCTTCTGCAGTTGTATTATATTCAGGCCTTCAGTGGGTTGGATGATGCCCAGCTGCACTGAGGAGGACAATCTGCTTTACTTAGTCTACTGTTTCAAATGCTCACCCAGAACACCGATTCTTCCCCATCATGAGTCTGAGAGCAGGGTCTTTTCAAGGAAGGTGAGAAAGGACTTTTTTTTTTTTTAATATATGAAATTTATTGTCAAATTGGTTTCCATACAACACCCAGTGCTCATCCCAAAAGGTGCCCTCCTCAATACCCATCACCCACCCTCTCCTCCTTCCCACCCCCATCAACCCTCAGTTTGTTCTCAGTTTTTAACAGTCTCTTATGCTTTGGCTCTCTCCCACTCTAACCTCTTTTTTTTTTTTTCCTTCCCCTCCCCCATGGGTTTCTGTTAAGTTTCTCAGGATCCACATAAGAGTGAAACCATATGGTATCTGTCTTTCTCTGTATGGCTTATTTCACTTAGCATCACACTCTCCAGTTCCATCCACGTTGCTACAAAAGGCCATATTTCATTTTTTCTCATTGCCACGTGGTATTCCATTGTGTATACAAACCACAATTTCTTTATCCATTCATCCGTTGATGGACATTTAGGCTCTTTCCATCATTTGGCTATTGTTGAGAGTGCTGCTATGAACATTGGGGTACAAGTGCCCCTATGCATCAGTACTCCTGTATCCCTTGGATAAATTCCTAGCAGTGCTATTGCTGGGTCATAGGGTAGGTCTATTTTTAATTTTCTGAGGAACCTCCACACTGCTTTCCAGAGTGGCTGCACCAATTTGCATTCCCACCAATAGTGCAAGAGGGTTCCCGTTTCTCCACATCCTCTCCAGCATCTATAGTCTCCTGATTTGTTCATTTTGGCCACTCTGACTGGCGTGAGGTGATACCTGAGTGTGGTTTTGATTTGTATTTCCCTGATAAGGAGCGACGCTGAACATCTTTTCATGTGCCTGTTGGCCATCCGGATGTCTTCTTTAGAGAAGTGTCTATTCATGTTTTCTGCCCATTTCTTCACTGGGTTATTTGCTTTTCGGGTGTGGAGTCTGGTGAGCTCTTTATAGATTTTGGATACTAGCCCTTTGTCCGATATGTCATTTGCAAATATCTTTTCCCATTCCGTTGGTTGCCTTTTAGTTTTGTTGGTTGTTTCCTTTGCTGTGCAGAAGCTTTTTATCTTCATAAGGTCCCAGTAATTCACTTTTGCTTTTAATTCCCTTGCCTTTGGGGATGTGTCGAGTAAGAGATTGCTACGGCTGAGGTCAGAGAGGTCTTTTCCTGCTTTCTCCTCTAAGGTTTTGATGGTTTCCTGCCTCACATTCAGGTCCTTTATCCATTTTGAGTTTATTTTTGTGAATGGTGTGAGAAAGTGGTCTAGTTTCAACCTTCTGCATGTTGCTGTCCAGTTCTCCCAGCACCATTTGTTAAAGAGACTGCCTTTTTTCCATTGGATGTTCTTTCCTGCTTTGTCAAAGATGAGTTGGCCATATGTTTGTGGGTCTAGTTCTGGGGTTTCTATTCTATTCCATTGGTCTATGTGTCTGTTTTTGTGCCAATACCATGCTGTCTTGATGATGACAGCTT